CGCGGCCGGCGCCGGGCGCGCCCCCTCTCGGAGCGGCGGGGCCCGGGGCTGGCCAGGTGGCCTCGTGGGCTGAGGCTGGGGGTGCACCCGGTCCAGGGACACCCCCCTTTCCCTCGACCTCGGGCCACAGGCACCGCCAACTCTGCGGCCCCCTTCTCTGGCAGCAGGGCCCCAAGAGGATCGTAGGCTCCAGCCAGCGGGGCGCTTCCGCTCACAGAGGCCTCTCTGTCCCTGCCGCTGCTGGCTCCTCCTCTGGCCCCTAGGGACAGTCTGACCTGTCCTGCCGGCTGCAGGACAAAGCCACTCTCTCCTGTGCCCCCAGATCCCCATCTGGGACCAGCTCCCCTTAGCTCTCACGGTCCCCTGCTTCAGGCATCCCCGTCCTCTGGCTGGACACCCTTCCAGCTGCTCTTCTGGCTCTCACAGCCCTGTGCCCCCCTGGGCCTCTGCTACGTCTCCAGTTGGGATCCAGTCACTCTGTCTCCAGCTGCTCAGTCCGGATGGAGGTGGGCAGTGGGGAGCGCCCAGGCCTTAGACTGTGTTCCCACACTGGAAATTCATCTCAGGACTGACCGGTAGGACCTTCCAGAAGCCAGGGAGGTGCTCAGTGTACCGTCTGCCTGACCCCCTGCCTCCACCTTTGCCTGTCCTACAGGCCCTGCAGGTACCCATCCACCATCACCCCTGGCCATCTTTCCAGACTTATGACTGCCACAGGCACCTGCCCCTGACCATTGCCCATGCGTTATCTGCTGCCTCTGCTTTCTAAGCAGACTGTCCATCTTCAGAGCTAAGTCAGCTGTTGCCAAACACCCTCCAGACAGGCTGCTGACATGGGGGCCTCCCTTGGCCCTTGGCCGGCCTCCCTATAATCCCTCGTGGCTTAGGATGGCTGTCTCCCCAGAAGTCCCAGTGCTGTTTGGGAGCAGGGTGGGGCCGCCCCTCGACCTAGCATTAGCTGGGCCCAGAGTGTGCCCAGTGGATGGCTAGTGCACAGAAAATCTTATCTGGACAGGTTACCTGGGCCTCTGTGTCCTTGGGCTTGAGGCACTGGTGCCTGGGTCTCAGGCTGTAGGGGCAGCTGCCCTGGCCAGGGAGTGTCCTGGGTCCACTTCTCTGGAGTTACTCACTCAAATTCAAGGCTCCTTTGTGGTAAGGAATTTTGGTGGGGGAGACCTAAAAAGCAATAAGCTCGGTTTCACCCCACGGAGCTTGGTCATGGGGGCCCATCCCTGGCTTCCCCTTTAGTGGCAGTTCTGGCCAAAGACCCAGCACAATATGCAAGCGTTTGTTCTGGAGTCTCTCGTCCGTTCCACCCCATCCCCCACCCCCTCATCCTACCCTGTTTCTGCCACACCCCCTCCCCAGCCCCAGTCCTAAGGTACTGACATTCTCTCACCTCTGGGCCCTTGAACCTGGTGGCTCTTCTACCAGGAAGATCCCTTCTCCATCTGCTTCTGGCCAATTGCTGAGCATCCTTCAAAACTCAGCTCAGGTACCTGATCCCCCATCCCCTAGAAAGTCTGGCTAGATGCCCCCACCTTTAAAGCATCAGGCAGCTTTCATCCTGGCTAAGGTGGCTGTCTCCCCAGGAGTCCCCATGCTGTTTGGGAGCAAGGCTGGGCTGCCCCAAGACCTGGCATTAACCTGACACACAGTGGTGCCTAGTGGATGGCCAGCACACAGGAAATTTTATCTGGAGAGGAGACGCCATCTTATCTGGAGTGGGACACCAAGCCAGGGTGAGGCCTGTGGGATGGGGAGGCCTGAGGACAATTCTGTGGGACTGGGGTGGAGGCTAGTGTGGGTGTGGCAGTCAGCGGCCTGCAGTGATGGACGCTACTGAAACTCAGGATAGCATAGCCAGTTGTGCCCAGGCCAGGTCAGGGCCACTCGTGAACCTGAGCCCACTATACAGAGAAAACAAGGGCTTGGCTTCTCAGAGTGTCCAGAGCCCTGGGGGAGGCAGCCCCACTGGCCCTTAGTCTGTGGGCTTCCCTGTGGACCCTGGCTGGGCACTGGAGGGAGAGGTACAGAAGAGACTGGAGTCAGTGCCTGGCTTTGGCTGTGGGACTGAGGTGTGGCCTGTGTCCTTCCTGTCCTGAGCTCTGACCACTTCCTCATTCCACTCTGCTTTCTGGCCTGGCCTGAAACCTTCCCCACCCTGTAGTTTTCAGTTTTGCTGTTACCCTGGGGGGTTTCTGGAGCCCAGACCAGGTCTGGAGGTCCCATGCAGCCCCTGTACTTTTCGAGACACCTATCCCGGTTGTAATTATGTTCTTGCTGTGCCAGCCCAGGGCTCCTTGGGGAGAGGAGGGCAGGGGGACTGGGCCCCTCTGTCTCCTGAGGTACCCCCAGCACTGGGCATGGAGTGAAGGACCAGCAACTGCTGCCAGTTTTTGAGCCTTTCCCAGGGTTCTCTGGTCTCCACTCCTGCCCTCTGGGCCCTGCTTCCCTGAAACCCTTGGACAAGGCCCTAAGGCACAAGGGAGGTGACTGCTTGGCCACAAGCCTACCCACGGCAGGGGTCCAGGTGGTGTTGCTTCCTCGGCCTGGCTGACACCCCACTGTCTGCACCCCGTCTGCTCAGGTAGGGCGGTGTTGTCCCCCCAACCTGGCTGAAACCCCCACCTCTGCCTGGATAGGCTCACTCCTCTCCTGGTCCTGCAAGTGCCTCCGGCTGCACAAATCTTGATTTTCCAAACCCTGTTGTTAGCCCTGTCCCCACCTTGAGGTGGATCTAGGGGTCGCCCTGAGCTAGAAGACTCAGAGTTCATGTCCTGCCTTCAATGGACACATGCAGCCTCTGCTGCCCAGCCTTGCAGGGGTGATAAGGCTTCCTGTGGACTCTGGCCTGGGGCGTGGAGCCGCTCTGCTCACCTGATTCCCTACCTCCCATCCCTACCCTCACCTCCAAAGATTGCCCCAAACTGCCTTTTTTTTTTTTTTTTTTTTTGTCCTTTTTGAGACCGGCCACACCGCGCTCAGCCAGTGAGCGCTGCGAACGCACTGGTCATCCCTATATAGGATCCGAACCTGCGGCGGGAGCGCTGCTGCGCCCCCAGCGCCGCACTCTCCCGAGTGCGCCACGGGCTCGGCCCCAAACCGCCTTTTTTTTTTTCTTTTTTTCCTTTTTGTCTTTTTTCGTGACCGGCAACGGATCGCAACCCTCAGTGTCGCGCCCGTACCGGACCGGGACTGGCAACGGGATCACAACCCTCGGTGTTGCTCCCACACCTCACTCAGCCAGTGAGCGGGAACCGGTCTGTATGTGGGATCCGAACCCTCGGCGGGAGCGCCACCGCACTCTCAAGCGGCGCACTGTAGCAGTGCACCACCGGGCCGGCCCCCAAACTGCCTTTTTAACACCACAAACTACTGGAGCAGACCGGACCACTCATTCATTCGCTCATTCACTCATTCACTCAGCAAGCACTCTCTGATGTTTGCTGTGGCCCAGTCACGGTGCTAGGCTTGTGATCCCACACTCTTTGTTTGATCAACACACATTTACTGAGTGTCCACTGTGTGCTGGGCACTGATCTAGGTGATGGAGGAACCAGCAGACCCAACTCCATCCTGCCTTTGTGCAGTTTACTTCTCATGGTTGAGTCAGGAAGCAGAGACTGCAGAAAGGCAGGAAGGAGTCGAGGATGGTAGGGTGCTCTCTGAGCTGACATGACCTGAGAGGGTCTCCTGGAGGAACTGGGACCTGACAAAGTGGGGCCGTGAGTCATGTGACTTCTTGGGGACAATCTCCAGGCAGAAGGAGGCAAATGCAAAGACCCTGAGGCAGGCCTAAGACTGTCCTTGGAGAACAGTCCTTTCAGGTGGGGAGAGCCTCCCGCGGGCCTCGCCCCTGCCGAGCTCCAGCTGCTAACTCAGTCGGAAGCACGCGTGGAGGCAGCATCCGTGTGCAGAACCTGCCTGCAAGGAGACGCATCTGCCCTAACTGGGGTTAGCCAGGGGCGGACCTGAGGGGCATGTTCCTTTTCATTCGGGGTCCTAAAGTGCCATTTGAAAAAAATTTTTTTTAACCATGTGCTTGTATTACTTCTAGACTTACACTAGTTTCTAAAAGAAAGTTTTGTCCCAAAATGGCCAAAGCTACCCTTGCATATTTTTAACAAAGGAGTTTGTAAAAAGCAAGATATTTAAAACTTCATGGTAGGCCACTTCCAGCGTGGCCACAGCAGCGAATGCCACCACCAGCCCGTCACAGCTGCTGCCAGCAGGGCTTGTGAACGAATGTGTAAGACCCGGAATTCACACCGGGATGAAGTGATGAGAAAATGGTTATGAAGTCCCCCCAGGAGGAGGGATTACTAAATTGGGTCAGATTTTGCTAAGTGGAAATAATATGACAACGCCGGTGCCCGGAGAAGGACCTGAGCTGTGACTGGGACCCCTTGAATGATGCTCGGTTCTGTTTTGTCCGGTAAATGGCAACAACATAGAATTTGTTTCACCTTGGGCCGGCCTGTGGCTCACTCGGGAGAGTGCGGTGCTGATGACACCAAGGCCCCGGGTTCGGATCCCATATAGGGATGGCTGGTTTGCTCGCTGGCTGAACGTGGTGCTGACAACACCAAGTCAAGGGTTGAGATCCCCTTACCGGTCATCTTTAAAAAAAAAAAAAAAGAATTTGTTTCACCTTTTAATGTTTTAGATCCTCTAAAGCTGAATTTCCCTTTAAAGGGAAGCGCTTTAAAGCTGCAGGCCCATTTTCCTAAGTTAATCCTGATTATGTTGGAAGAAAAGTTGCTTCATTGAGGCCCCAAATAAACATGTTTTTGGTTAAAACAAACAAAACCCTGACAGTTAAGGCAAGCGAGGGGCCTCGGAGCCGCTCTGGTCCCGCAGCAGCTTCGCCCACGCCGGCCCGCGCTCCCCACGCGCACAGCCGGGGCAGGCAGGGCCGCCGCCGCCCTCTGCCACCG